TCATCTGCGAATGTACAAGCACCTAAAGCACAGCTGTGCTTTAGGTGCTTGTACATTCGCAGGTGCTTTTAATTTAAAAAAAAAAAAAAAAAAAAAAAAAATTCTGTATATATAGGGGTAAAATCGCAAATGGAATAGGTCCATCTGTGATTTACTCTCACTCTATCTGCGAAATTGTGGTTTTTTTTATATATTTTTTTTTAGTTTGACTATGAAATGAATTGGTTTGACTACGAAATCATGTTGCTATATAAAAAGTTTTGTAGATAGTTTTACTTTCTCAGTCAAACCAATTCATTTCGTAGTCAAACTAAAAAAAATCAAAAAAAAAAACCACAATTTCGCAAATAGAGTGAGAGTAAATCGCAGATTGTAACGCCCGTAGATTCGGGCTAGTCAATTTAGAGGCAATATGGGTCGAAAACGAATTTTCGGCAAAAGATTATTTAGAATAAATAATTTTAACCAAGTTATAGTATATGTCACAAGGTTTCCGTACATATAAAGAACGCCGAAATCTGAGTTATAACGAAGAAGTTATGGCTCGTCGAAGTTTTACAGCAAAACCGGCACGGCACCGGGAAGCGTAAAAAGTGAATTTATGATAGAAGACTTTTTAGCCTTAGTTATCTAAACCAAAGTCGTAGAGTATGTTAAAATGAGAAAATCCGTAAAAAGAACCCCCAAATCTGACTTCGTATGAGGAAGTTATGATTTTTCAAAGTTTCAGCTTAGTAGTGAATAGCCCGAAACTCGAATTTTAGTTCGAGCGGTTTTTGGCTTACGCGACCTAAATGAGAGTTAAAGATCTCATTAATAGGAACTCAACAGTAAAAAGATGGACGAAAACGGAGTTCGTATGAAAGAGTTACGAATTCTTCGCGGTCATTTAACAGTCTAAACGCCTCCTACTGTTAAATTTATGATCGGTCGAGAATTAGCCGACGGAGCCAAAATGAAAGTTGTAGATATTATTTTTACCTACGCATGGATATAAAGAACGTCGAAAACGGAGATAGTATGAGATAGATATAGACGAAGCTTAGTCGCTACTTTTCGAGCGCGGCGAATTCGATACAGTTTTGTAAATCCGAGATAGAATGAGAATTAGCCAACGAGGTCTAAATGAGAGTTGAAGATCTCATTAATAGGAACTCAACGGTAAAAAGACAGACAAAAATGGAGCTCGTATGCGAAAGTTATGGACGAAGCTTAGTCCCTACTTTTCGAGCGCGGCGAATTCGATACAGTTTTGTAAATCCGAGATAGAATGAGAATTAGCCAACGAGGTCTAAATGAAAGTTGAAGATCTCATTAATAGGAACTCAACGGTAAAAAGACAGACAAAAACGGAGCTCGTATGCAAAAGTTACGGACGAAGCTTAGAGACTACTTTACTATAAAACTCCTATAAATACAAGGGTGAACTCCTCATATTTTCTTCACACCATAAGCCTCTCTTTCTCTCTCTAACTTCTCTCTAGCCTCCCTAAACCCCTCCCAAGTCTACGGAACCTCCCTAGCACGAGAAGAAAGCCCCGGAGCGCCCGACGGCTCCGAGAAGAAAAGCTTCCGGCTTGGAAACGCTGCTCCAGCGAAGCCCGGTTTTTAATAAAAACTCGTTGTAAGTGAGCTATGCCTATACCATATTTAATATAGATTTTATTTAATTATAGTAACATTATTAGGACCTTAAAATAATTATTTGGGCTATTATTATGAGTTATATTGAGTGTTATTTAACGCTTATATAATAGTAATAATAGCTAAACTATTAATTAGTCGTGGTTAACGTTAAAAACTAAACCCTAGTGGTATTGATACTAGGTTTTGTCGAGGAAAATTGTTTTGAGATAACGAAGTGCTGTCTGAGTTCGGAATCACCACCAAATCAGGTGAGTGCATAGTCCTTTCATCTTACACATAGATATGAAGTATTTTATATAAACTACGTGCTATGTGTGCATATTATCTGAATACTTGCTGTCTATGCTGGATGAACGTTTTATACATGTTTTAAAGGATTTAAACTGTATACGTATTTTATATATACGAATATGTTGGGTATGATGATGGGTAGATAAATGATGAGAGATAGAAGATGATGTGAGTATACATTGGCAGCTATAGACTTAGTGCCTATGGGACAAACACAAGGTAGCTATGGACTTAGTACCTGTTAGACGTTGGTAGCTATGGATTTAGTACCTATTGAACATTGGTAGCTATGGACTTAGTACCTATTAGATAAAGACTGGTAGCTATGGATTTAGTACCCGATGAATAGACTATAGCAACTATGGAATTAGTGCTTTATGAACGAACATTGGCAGCTATGGATTTAGTGCCAGTCCTAGAACCCTGGAAGTAAGGGACTTCGGAATAAACGAATGAAGGATAGATGACTCTTAGGTTAAATCCTTAAAGAGTAAAGAAGATAATGGGGATGGGTAATTGGGTTGATTGTTTGATTAAACATAATAATTATATTATTGTGGGTTGAAAACCCTATGTACTCACCAGGTTTCCCAACCTGACCCACTCAGTTTATGTATACCACAGGTGACGAAATGAAGTGACATTACACTGAGAGATTTAAAGAGATGTAGATCACTAGTGCAAATAATTGTAAGTTCTGTTTATGCTTATGTTTCTGTATTAACGATGACATCCCAAATGTTTTAAGATGAATAAAAATACGTTTCTTCGAAAAAAAATTTTAATAATGTATTTATTGTGTTTTTCTGGGAACAAATTCCGCAACCTTTTTATAAAATGAAGTACTCTGATTTTCATAAAGCATAAAGAAAATCGGTCTTTTCTGGCCGTGATTTTGGGGATGTCACACAGATTGACCTATTCCATCTGCGATTTTACCCCTATATATACAGAAAAAAAAAAAAAATTAAAAGCACATGCGAATGTACAAGCACCTAAAGCACAGCTGTGCTTTAGGTGCTTGTACATTCGCAGATGAGATGATCATTTCGCAGATGGGGCATCTCCATCTGTGAAATCGTTGGCTAATTTTGTAATTTTGATTTTTTTTTTTGGTTATTTTTGTAATGTCATTAGTGTAAATGACTATTTTCGTCACTTTCTCTTGGATTTATAATTAGGAATAACCTTTTTTTTTTGATAGCTCGATTTTTTTCAAGGAGTAGCACCGCAACATAAAATAGGAAAAAAAAATAGAATTCTTTTACACTATTGACAAAATTTAGGGGTAATTTGTGGTACCCGAGTTCCTTCCTAGGCTGCCTATGATATATATTTGTGAAATATCCATGTATGATTACTAATATATTGTTTTATATGATTCGTGTGATATCTATGTTTGATTATTAATATATTGTTTTATATCCTTATTTCTATAAGACAAATAATTAAATGACTTAATTTTGAACCAAACCACACTCGTTGGTAATCATACTAAAACAAAAAGTCTATAAAGGCACATGTTGTCCTTGAATTTATGAAAATATATTACCTTAGATATAAACACATAATGAAAAATTATCTGAATTTCATTAATCCCTAATCTAATAAATGTATAGTTTTAATTTTTTTGTCAAGTGTGATTCTAATACAACTTCTCATTAATATTATATCATATGTCATGTAGATATATTAGGCAACTCATTTCAAAATTCTAATTTACATTTTCAAATTATATGTTAAATTTGAAGTTATAATAAGTTTAAAATTTTGATATATCTCTTAATTAATAATTTATTTAAAATAATTGATTAAAAAAGTTTAGTTTTTATTTTAAAAGTTTAATTAATTGTATAACTATGATTCCCATTAATTATAAACTAATGTATATATAAAATATTGTCATATAACAATGGTTATATGTCCTTATCTAGTAAAAACCTATTACCATGGTTTCACGAGCACCCATATACTCTTCATGAATGTTCATAAACTCGTCAAATAAACCTAATAAATTATTAGAGAATAACTTCCTCATGAATGGTGAATGATATTCCATTGATTAAGAATACATAAAGAATGAAACAACTCATAAATTCAACCACCACATAGACCATACAAACAATGTTTTAAAACCCGGGTTGATCCGGCCGGTTCAACCGGTTGGACCGTGACCCGGGGTAGAAGGCGGGTCAATTGCGACCTGTTTTATATAAAAATACGAACCGGATCGAACCGGCCGGGTTTCCTCTAAACCGCGGTTCAACCGCTTATGTCGAACCAGTTAAAACCGGATTGACCCGTTTTAATAAGGTTTGGATAGTTGGAAACATGTAACGAACGCCAAAACAACGAGTCGTTTGCGGTTTCTTTAATGTTTTTCAATGTTTTTAAATATTTAAACTTTGTGGACATTAAATTGTTGGTTTTATATGGTTATGCATTATGCATGAAAGTAAAAATATATAAAAATAGAAAAAGACCATAAACCGGGTTGACCCGGCGGTTCAACCGATTGATCCGGTTGACCCATGAACCGGTCACCATACCGGGTCAACCAAAAACCCGGGTTTTAAAACATTACATACAACACTAATTGCAATGGGGTGAAGACCAAAGACCCGTATACCAGTAACGATTAGAGGCTAAAACTGATCATTCATGGTTTGTAGCCACAATGAAACAACTCATAAAAAATGTATACTTAATCCAATAAATATTTTTTATTTAATTTTATCAAGCATCAAAATAATGTTTGTTAACAGTAACAAACTGTAACAATCAAGATAAACACCTTAAATAAGTAATTTCAAACACCCCGTAATAAACTTAACTTTACGGTGCTAAAAGGAGAAACCAAAATCATATAAAAACCGTCAATAAAGGACAATCTATATCAAAAGATCCCCTTTAAAACAAAAGTAAAGATAAATAGATAATAATTAACTGTATGGATTATTTTTTGCAGTTTACTCTAAAAGAATCGCAAGCCTTCACATTATTACATATACTTGAATTGTATCTTTTTATTTTATTTTATTTTATTTATTTATTTATTTTTTTTTTTTTTGAGTTATCGTTGAACTAATTATTGGATTCGAAGGTGTCAACTGTCAAAGTAAAGATATGTATTTCTGGTAAACAGTTAGATTTGTTAAGCATTTATAGCATGATTCTGTGAAGATTTATAAGTTGGGGATCGTTTTTGTCTAGTTAAATCTTGTATCTCACTTTGCTTACACACTTAGCATATTGTTCATGCGGCATTGTAGATGAAAGGTCTAAAGGTAAAGGTGAAGCTTAAGCAAGAAAGAGTAGTGTTAAATGTATAGCCAAGTAATACAGTTTGATTTTTTTTTTTTTTAAATTTTATCCAATGCAATTGTCATCGGATCTTAACAGGAAGGATACGGATTTGATACAGCAGCCATCAGTCTCCCTTGCTATTAATTCCCAGAAATTAGAAGGATAACTTAACATGTCTCCGATGGGAGGTTGAAAGAAAGATAAGGCGAATGTGAAACAGGATTTGCCACCCCAACATAATTTCGCAATTTACCGAAATAGTTTCCCAAGGATTGCGATGCAATTTGCTCCACTGAAACCCAATCCAGTCTATCCACTGCCTGCCACATGTTTGACAATTTGCCCAAGTGAATGAAGATCAACATATGCCTCTGGTTGCTATTTTATCGCAGATAACAAACGATTGGCTTTGATTGCGCGCAATTTAAACTACAGACACGAAACAACATCATCTCCACGTGTTCCAATGCCATCATTTTCCTCACTCCAAATTGTTGGTGCGTAATCTGTCGTAATCTAAGCACTCACCCACCATCTCAGATCTGGGATCTTTTGTATTTTCCTTTTGGTGACTCAACTATACACACACAGTCGTATCTAGCCCTTCAATTTGAACATAATTTTAATCTTGTTCTTGTTCATAGTCCCATCCTAACATAATAATAATCATTTACGTATTATTGCTCAACCAACTAATATTAGTTCATTTCCTGGTAATAAAAGTTTAACCTTTAATCAAAATTGAGATTAGCAAATCCAGTTTATGGTTTTCATAAACAAAACTGTGTTGCAAAATGGAATCAATGAACGAAATATGAAAATGGGTGTATAGTTTTGGGACCAAAAACATAACTTTTTACCCTTTCTTGATGACATGTGACTAGGAGAGCATGTGAGGCCAGTGTATTCCAGTGAACCCCTTTATCACCACCACCCCGACTCCCCCCACCATGAATCAACAAGAAAAGAAACCAAGAAGAACATAGCATTGAAGCTCTTTCTTTCTTTTTTTCTCTTTCTTTCTTTCTCTCATCGACTTGAATATTCTTGATTACAGCTTGAATCATTCAAGTTCGATAGCATCCATCACACACAATGGAGCGTGCACGAAGGCTAGCAAACAAAGCCATCCTCGGGCGCCTGGTTTCACAAACCAAACAAAACCCATCATCCCCTGCGCTCTATTCGCCTTCAAGGTATGTCTCCTCTTTGACTCCATACGTATGTAGTGGTAGTGGCAGTGGCAGAAACGTTAGATCAGAAAGAACCAGTAATGGGTTCGGTTCGCAAGTTCGATCTATATCAGTAGATGCATTAAAACCAAGTGACACCTTCCCACGCCGCCATAACTCCGCCACCCCAGACGAACAAACCAAAATGGCCGAATTTGTCGGTTTTCCAAATCTCGATTCCCTCATTGACGCCACTGTACCCAAATCAATCCGTCTCGAATCGATGAAATTCCCTAAGTTCGATGAAGGCTTAACCGAATCCCAAATGATCGCACACATGCAAGATTTAGCTTCCAAGAATAAGATCTACAAGTCCTTCATCGGTATGGGATACTACAACACATCTGTTCCTCCAGTCATTCTAAGAAACATCATGGAAAACCCTGGTTGGTATACACAGTACACTCCATATCAGGCGGAAATTGCTCAGGGACGTTTAGAATCCCTTCTCAATTTCCAGACCATGATCACCGACCTCACCGGTTTACCCATGTCAAACGCTTCCCTACTCGATGAAGGAACTGCAGCTGCTGAAGCTATGGCGATGTGTAACAACATCCAAAAGGGTAAAAAGAAAACCTTTATCATCGCAAGTAACTGCCACCCACAAACAATCGAAATCTGTAAAACCAGAGCAGATGGGTTTGATCTTAAAGTCATCACTTCTGATCTCAAGGATTTCGATTACTCATCTGGTGATGTGTGTGGAGTTCTTGTTCAGTATCCAGGGACCGAAGGTGAGTTGTTGGACTATGGTGAGTTCATCAAGAACGCACATGCAAACGGTGTGAAAGTAGTCATGGCTACTGATTTGTTAGCTCTGACTGTGTTGAAACCTCCTGGTGAGTTTGGAGCCGATATTGTTGTGGGTTCTGCTCAAAGATTCGGTGTCCCAATGGGTTATGGAGGTCCACACGCAGCCTTTTTAGCAACTTCCCAGGAATATAAAAGAATGATGCCCGGAAGAATCATCGGTGTCAGTGTGGATTCTTCCGGAAAGCCGGCTTTACGTATGGCCATGCAGACAAGAGAACAGCATATTAGAAGAGACAAAGCAACCAGCAACATCTGCACAGCTCAGGTATAAATTAAATCCTTCAAGTGTAGAAAATGTAATTTTGAGATTCATGAAGGTGTTTTGTTAAAATATATTTATATATATAGGCATTGCTTGCGAACATGGCTGCTATGTTTGGTATCTACCATGGACCAGAAGGGTTAAAGACGATTGCACAGAGAGTTCATGGTCTTGCTGCAACTTTTGCTGCTGGGTTGAAGAAGCTTGGAACAGTTCAAGTTCAAGAACTTCCCTTTTTTGACACTGTGAAGATAACATGTGCTGATTCAAGTTTAATAGCTGAAGAAGCTGATAAACATCAGATGAATCTTCGTATTGTTGATAAAAACACTGTAAGTATGTTTTTTATGTTACCAAAAGTACTATATCTATGTTCTTAAGCTTATGGTCAAATATGTTCCTGCTTCTCTCAGATCACTGTCTCTTTTGATGAGACAACAACGATTGAAGATGTTGATAATTTGTTCAAAGTTTTCGCCTTGGGAAAACCCGTGAGTTTGTCCTTTCTTTTGATATAACAAATAACAAATCTTTATATAAATCAAGAAACTTGATTCTTGATTCTTGATTCTAGGTGACATTCAGTGCCACGTCACTTGCACCAGAGGTTCAGGATGTTATCCCTTCCGGACTTGTCAGGGAGACTCCATATCTGACTCATTCGATTTTCAACACGTATGATTCTTTTTTCAAAACTTAGTAACTTTTTTAACATGTAAAAAGCTTTTCCTGATTCTTTATTTATTTATTTTAGTTACCATACGGAGCATGAGCTACTAAGATACATTAGTAAGCTTCAGTCAAAGGATCTGTCATTATGCCACAGTATGATTCCTCTGGGATCTTGCACCATGAAGCTTAATGCAACTACAGAGATGATGCCTGTGACATGGCCAGCCTTTGCAGATATGCATCCTTTTGCTCCTACACCACAGGCACAGGGGTATCAGGTAATCATACCTTTCTAATTTTGACTTAAATTTCCAAATTACATTTCTCTTGACTTTTTTTTAACCTAACATAAAATATCTTGCAGGAAATGTTCAAGAATTTGGGTGACTTGTTGTGTACCATAACCGGATTTGACTCTTTCTCTTTGCAACCAAATGCTGGAGCTGCAGGAGAATATGCTGGGCTGATGGTTATCCGAGCTTATCATATGGTATATGCTATAAACTATACCCTTTTATATAATCATATATAAAAAGTCAAAGTCATTGACTTTGGTCAACTATAGGCGAGAGGAGATCATCATCGTAATGTATGCATCATCCCTGTGTCTGCACATGGAACAAATCCTGCAAGTGCTGCTATGTGTGGAATGAAAATTATTACTGTGGGAACTGACTCCAAAGGTAATATCAATATTGAAGAGGTGCGCAAGGCTGCCGAGGCAAACAAAGAGTATCTATCTGCTCTTATGGTAACCATTTTTTTTTTTTTTTTTTTTTTTTTTTTATTTATCAAAACATATAAAAATATATTCGTAACTAAAGTAAATTCTCTTTTTTTAGGTTACCTATCCTTCTACTCATGGAGTTTATGAGGAGGGTATTGATGAGATTTGCAAGATCATTCATGACAATGGAGGTCAAGTCTACATGGATGGAGCTAACATGAATGCACAGGTACATCAACATTACACTTCTTGTGTCATTTTAATTTAGTTAAAACATCATAAAAATTATTTGGTTTTTTATTTATTACAGGTTGGATTAACAAGTCCAGGGTGGATTGGGGCTGATGTTTGTCATCTAAACCTTCACAAGACATTTTGCATTCCACATGGTGGTGGTGGGCCCGGAATGGGCCCCATTGGTGTGAAGAAACACTTGGCACCCTACTTGCCTTCACACCCTGTGGTAAGACAAAGCAATAATTTTTTTTAGTTTGATGTTTATGTGTAACTAGAGTAATATGTTGTTGAGTTCATAATTTAATTGTAAATGTAAATCTTGATTTAAAGGTTGCAACTGGAGGTATACCAGCCCCTGAACACAGTAAGCCACTTGGCACGATTTCAGCAGCACCTTGGGGTTCAGCACTTATCTTGCCTATATCATATACATACATTGCCATGATGGGATCTCAAGGGCTTACAGATGCATCCAAGATAGCTATCTTGAATGCAAACTATATGGCAAAACGTCTTGAGGTCTCTTTTCCTTATTCATTAAGAATAAATATATAATCTAATTGTCGAGGAGGTCTTACTTTTTTTTATTTCCTTTGGGATTAATTACATTGCAGAGTCACTATCCCATTCTTTTCCGTGGTGTGAATGGAACAGTTGCCCATGAGTTCATCGTTGATTTGAGACCCTTGAAAGTAAGTTATAATATTATTTTTTGTTAAGTCAAAAAGAAATAGCAACTAACTCGACTCATATTCATATTCATATTCAGACAACTGCTGGAATAGAGCCAGAAGATGTTGCAAAACGTCTGATTGATTACGGGTTTCATGGTCCAACTATGTCATGGCCAGTTCCAGGAACACTCATGATTGAACCCACTGAAAGTGAAAGCAAGGTAAATTATAAAAAAAATATATATATAAAAAAAAAAAAAAGAGTAAAGTTTCTTTAAAAATTATAATGTTTTTTTTCCTTTCCTTTCATTTTATAATTTATATAACATAACATGTGGAATTTTTGAGTTGTAGGCTGAGTTGGACAGGTTTTGTGATGCTTTGATCTCCATTAGACAAGAAATAGCAGAAATTGAGAAAGGAACAGTGGACATCAACAACAATGTCATCAAGGTAGTTATAGATTTATAGCAATAACTATGTTTCAGTGTTTTTGGATGAAGAATTATATTATTAGGGATAATGATGGAAATTACAAAATTTGTAGGGAGCACCTCATCCACCACAACTACTCATGGCTGATAAGTGGACAAAACCATACTCCAGAGAATATGCAGCTTACCCTGCCCCATGGCTTCGTGCTGCTAAGTTCTGGCCCACTACATGTTCGTCTCTCTTTCTTTCTCTCTCATGGATAAATTTTTATCTGAATAATTATTATTATTTGAATCTTGAATTGTTGATTGATGTGGTTAAAGATTGATTAACTATGGTTGGGTTAATTACGTGTGACAGGCCGTGTGGACAATGTGTATGGTGATCGGAACCTGATCTGCACCCTTCAGCCACCACAGGAGTATGAAGAGAAAGCTGAAGCTACTGCTTAAGGAATAAGAAGCTATACATGTGAATGATGTGATGTGGTTTTAAGGTTCTTTTTCAGCTTTATACTTAAATCTTGTTCTTGTATATACTTGTTTCGTATTTGTAAGCCTTATATGGCTGCTGGCTTTTTATGGTATTATTCATGTAAAATCATGGTGACCAGCTGCTCTTAATTATAGCAATTTCTTGTCATGATGATGTATAGATTTCACTTGTTGTGAAAGATACCATCTTAACCTCTTTTTATCATATTTACAACAATTTTAGCTATTTAATGATTCGATCAAACACTCTTTCAACACCACTTTATCACAAAAATTAGTACAATTTTAGCTATTGAATGATTGAATCAAACACTCTTTTAAAACTTTCAGTTCCTAACAACATTAATAAGTTTAATATTATTTAAAAGCATATTGTTTAACCTTCAATGATAAATTAATATCATAATATGATAAACATTGAGTGTCAAAAGTGACTTTTTGTCCTAGTGTGTAATTGCAATCAGATTTTGACCTGTGGAAACTAAGTTTTATATTGTTTTACGACATTTCAAGCCAACAATAGCCGACATATTCACCTGAATGCATTTATTTGCATGCCCAAACTTTAAAATAATAAATAATAAAATAATAGAAAACACATGGTGTGCAATAAAGAAACCCGTACTTATTTATTTAAAGAGGCTGAGAATCGCACTTTAAAGGTTACATTATTGTTATTTTTGATTTTACAAGTTTGGTTTATGCATATTTAATTTCGTTTTAATATAGAAACCTATAATAAATAAAATCATTTCGAATTTGAGTGATGAAAAACAGGTTCGGAACTATGAACTAAGTTTTGAGAATATATTGATCCATGAACGAAAACTAGGTCATAATTTAATTTTTTGGGTTTGTTGATCACCATATATAATAATAGATCAAATCAATTGATTAATTAAATTCTTTTTCTATTTATTAAAATTAAATCAAACTTAACGTTGATAGCCCCATAAGGGACTCGGTGAATTCAACTGCAACATTTATATAAATTATGTTTTTAATTTTATTTTGAGTAAATTACACGAATGATCCCTATGGTTTGGGGTAATTTGCATGATTGGTCCCTAACTTATTATTTTAACTCGGAAGGTCCCTGTTGTTTGTTTTTGTTATGCGTTTGGTCCCTACTATTTGTTTTTGTTACGTGTTTAGTCCCTATCTTAGCTAAAAATACTATTATTTAAATATGAAAAAATGTTAGGGTAGGTGATATAATGTGAGGGGTGGGGTTGGAGGTGTGTTTATTTAAATAAATTAAAAAAAATCAAGGGCAAAATAGTCTTTTTAGGTATGACGGGACCAAGCGCGTAACAAAAACAAACAATAGGGACCTTCCGAGTTAAAAAAATAAGTTAAGGACCAAACACGCAAATTACCATAAACCATAGGGACCATTCGTGTAATTTACTCTTTTATTTTCGACATTATATGTTAAGCAATTTTTGGCAAATACTATTTTGAATCTTGCCAATATTTGTATCATGATATCAAAAATTATGACTATGAGAGAAGTCAAGTTTTTATACTTTGAGGTTCTTTAAAATATATATATATATATATATATATATATATATATATATATATATATATATATATATATATATATATATATATATATATATATATATATATATATACACACGAGCAACAACTCTTCTAATTAAAATTGAGGGTCATAAGGTTTGTCTTGTATGAGGGATCGGGATTGAAGTGTAATTACTATTTAGTTTAAAAGATGAGATTTGACTGTCTTTTATCAAAGGGTCTAAAGATAATGGCAAGCAGAAGAGTTGATAATTGAGTTCCATTATTATGAGTATTAAATTGAAAAAGACTCGTTGAAAATCTGAGATAGAAAACAAAGACTTTTGCCGACACAAACATACATGAAGGTTTCGAAGATGGTGGGAAGTGGATTCTTAAATAAGAAGAAAAGCCGTAACTTTATTTTTTTTTTAGAACTTTGGTTCCCTGATATATTGCTACTTAGGCTATGAAAACTATATTATTTTTTGAGTTTTTTTTAGATTGTTATCTTTAGTTAGTAAAAAAAATAAACTTATAAACTGATATTTTAAAAAACTATTCAGTCTAACCTTTCAATTCATCGGGTTTATGAAGTCTCTTTAAAAAAAAATTCTTTCAAAAGTATCTTTTTTGTACAAGTACTTTTGTAATTAGCCAATATTTTATGTTTTCATTAATGGTTAAATGTTGTTATAGACTATCATTTAATAATATTTTGACAGTAAAAATTTACAAAAACAAATAAAACAAAATTAATATTAAATACGTCTCCAGCGACTATTTCCAGAACCTCTAGAACTTAAATACAAAAGACTTAAATTGTTCGGTTTATTAGAGAAAATTAACTTCCTCTTTGTTTTTCTTTAAAAAAATACAATAAATGTTCATTTTAAAATGTTTATGAAATATTATTATTTTAATTTTTGACAATTTATATTAGTATGGCCTGTATCGACATATTAAATATGAAATAGATAAATCTTTTATATATATATATATATATATATATATATATATATATATATATATATATATATATATATATATATATATAGGGTTAGGTTCATTTGAGACCATCTATATTTTGTGAGACCGTGAGACGCATTTTTTTATTTTTTTTTATTTTTTTTAGTTAATTCATGTTCTGAAAATAATATTTAAAAAAAGAATTTTTTGATTTTTTCATTTATTTTGCATTTTAAAATTATTTTTAGAATATGTACAGTGTAATATTATATTTAGAATATTTCACGTATTTTTCAAAAAAAATAGAATTTTTTTTATTTTTTTATTATTTTTTGTAGTTAATTCAAGTTCCGAAAATAATATTTAAAAAAAGAATTTTTAGATTTTTCCATTTATTTTTCATTTTAAAATTATTTTTTAGAATATGTCAGTGTAATATTCTATTTAGAATATTTCACGTATTTTTCAAAAAAAAAAAACGGATTTTTTTTATTTTATTTTTATATTTTTTTTAGTTAATTCAAGTTCCGAAAATAATATTTAAAAAAAGAATTTTTGGATTTTTCTATTTATTTTGCATTTTAAAATTATTTTTAGATTTGGTCTCACGGTCTCACAAAATTAGAATGGTCTCAAATAAACCTGAACATATATATATATATATATATATATATATATATATATATATATATATAAACAATATCATTTTAATATAAATAATACAAAACTATTATTTTGTATTTATTTTATCTTATTGAATGAAATGTATGACTTAAATGTTTTGTACTAATACAAAACTATATTTAAAATGTCATTGTATATTAGTTTATACTATATTTAAAATATCACTTTATATTATTATATATATATTTTTTTCTGTTATCAATTAGTTTATCACCTTTCAACTAATAACTAATATTTATATTTTCGACTAGTCTATCAATATATATATATATATATATATATATAAAAAGAGAAGAAAAAAAAAAAAAAGAGAGGAAGGGGGAGGTTGTCAAAGCGCCTATAAACATTGTTTTATTTAACTCTAAGTTTAGTGTTTTAATATATTTTTTCAACTATCATGGGCTAATATTTCGTATTGTAGGATTTTATTCGGTGGTCTATTTAAGACAAAATTACAAAAATGGTCCCTGTAGTTTACTAAAAGTCACAAACTTAGCTCCTATAATTTTTTTTGATGCAAATGGTCCTTGTGGTTTGCAAAACTTGCAAGGATGATCCTTTTTACTAAC